TTGCTCGTAGGTTGTGGCATTAACTCGATGGCTTTATTTTGTTTGATTCTAGTCGACGACCGGGACTGTCAATAACAGAGCCAAGGTATGTCATAATGGGCATCATAAGATCGCACTTCTCTGGACGTACACAAAATCCATGTGAATCTATTCTGGAGAATAGTTTGTTTAGGTGAGTGTAATGATCTCCAATGGTGGAGCTTACAATTATTTTTTCATCCAAATAAGCCATAGCACACTGTAATCCGGATAGCATAGCGTACATCACTTGTTGAAATATCGCTGGAACACATGCTACTCAGAAATGTAACCGCCTGTAACGATACAAGCCTCGATGACTATTAATAGTGAGCAGTTATTTTCAGCGCTCCTCGACCACTACTTGCAACTTCGCATCAGAAAGGTCAATTTTAGGAAAGATATTTCTTCCATTAAGCTTTGTGAATAAATCCTCGGGAGCTGGTAAGGGATACCGATGCGTTTCCAGTGCGTTATTTAATCCGGTAGAAACATTAGCACAAATACACAAACTGCCATTAGCCTTTCCGATGACTGCAATAGGAGCGGCACACGCTGAGCAACTCAGAGAATTGATGACGCCCATGGACTCCATTCGACTACTTTCGGCACCCACAACCTCAACGGCAGCGTACGGTACTGATCTTTTGGGACAAATTACTGAACGTACACCGGTACGCGGATACAACACAGCTTTATCTTAGAACACATTCCAAGTCCCTCTGCAAAAACATTGAGGTACTTAGAGGCAAAAGGTGACAAAGCTTCTGCACTGTCCTCAAACATTACGGGTGCAACCGAACATTGAACATCGGTGGGACACAGTGAAAAACTATCTGGGTTATCACAAATACTGTTCAAAGGTATGCTCCATAAATCAAATTTGTCTATCATCTAATTTATGCTTAACAAGTTCAAATGTCCGTAACGTGTAACGTAACAAACACCATTAGCATGCAACTCACGAAGTGCAAACTCACAATTGAACTGTCCAACGAAGGGTAATTCCGATCCGGACGCGACGTGAGCGATGTGTGAAGTTTGAACACATGCGCGTTCACAGTGCTTGCTCCATGTCGACTCAGAGATTATTGTAATATCGGAAGCCGTGTTCAGTTGAAGCCGGACAGAAACACCGTTTATCACAATCGTAACAAAGTGACTGATAGTGCGGGCTAGTGGTTGCGAACACCATATTTGAAAGGCAACTTTGAAAACTTGGAGTTTTGGCGAAGTTTCCTGACGGTGTTGCAGAGGCTCCATGCAAACATCTGGTTTCCTTATGTCCCATATTCCCACAACGCTTGCAAATATATCGTCTGAATTCACAAAATCGAGCGAAATTCCACTGACCACAATGTCAACAAGCACTAGGCGGACGGCCTCGGCGTGCGAAATCGGAGAGACGTACTGAATTGTGCGATGGCCATGGGGGTGTAGGAATAGTACAAACATCCACCACACAAGACCCGCTGTCCCGTTGGATCATTTCTGTGTCAAGCTTCAGTGACAACATACGTTCACATTCCTGTAGCAGCTCCTGTAGTGAGACTTCTGGATTAGACTCCAACCTAGATGACACACGTGTTCGAATCTCCGCATCTTTTGGAGAACGTAATCCACAAACAAAAATGAGCATTTTAAACTGATCCCTTGTGAGTGTGCTAAGCCGAAAACGCTCACATTCTCTGTTAACAACAGCTGCCTAAGTCACGAAATCATCTTCCTGGTGTTTAACAACTTGTGTTGAAAAGTGAAGTTTTAGGGCCGAAAATTCTGGTCAAGTGTTTCACAGTGTCGTCAAATGAGATATCGCGTGGGTTCTTGGGTAGAATGTACTTAGAGTACTTTTTATGCTCTTGTGGACTCAATTTCCTCAAAAGAAGGCGTACCTGAGCTGCATCGCCTAGCTCACACCCATCAATTTTTAACAAGTCTCCATAGCGGCGAAACCATGTTTCGAAAGTGAGGTCATCGTCCAGCTGGTAATGAAATTCTGCCATACTGTGTGCCAGCTTGTCTGCAGTGGAAATCGTTGAATCCGTAGATGTTGACTGTAACGACATTCGTGTTGTCAATGTTTCAATTAAGCGCTGCAGTGACGTCTCAAACTGTATTTGCTGTCGAGACAGTAATTCTTGAAGATATTCCAGCGTGCTTGTGTTTGTCGGTGAAGGAGTGTAGGTCGGCTCCGTTGATGAAACTTTGATCTCATGCACATGCATCCCAATCAGATTCCTTCGGGTTTACACCGGAATTTGGGTTTTGTGGATGACACTGGGTGGTGCATCTCGTACCACTCCTGGTCCCTCCGTAGGTGCAGACGTCCTGTGGCTGTCCCTGTGGAGGCCACAGTGACAGCCAAATCCGGAACCGGATGACACTAACCATATTTGCGCCCATGGAATAGACGAAGAAATCACAAACTGTATACCAAAAGTTCGCGAAGCTTTAGTGGATCTCTGCTATTCGTGGAGCCGGTGCGATATCACTAACGCGTTGTAGTGTACAGTTTACAATGCAGCCGTGCGTTCAATCCTCCTATACTGTTGCGGAAGCTAGTCCACCAGATGGACTGACCTAAAAGGCCTTGTTTCTACAATCGCTGCTTTCAAAGTTTAGCTCATGTCTAGTGGGAACACCGCGTTGGCACTGATAGCGTTCGGCGTCTTGTATTTGGTGTAGGAAGATCGAACGAACAGCTCAGCACCGTTATTTCACGCACCAAGCCCTGATGACTATGCCACGTGTTATACATGCCTGTACACCGACTCCGACGACATGTACTTTTTGTGAAAGCGGCGTCCGGATGGAAGAAGAGGAGGGCAAGAAAGCGATGAACTGGTCACTTGAAATGAAAACCGTCGCTTTGAACTTCACGTCGGTTGGTGTCTCTCGATTAAAAGGTTGGGATCCCAAGAACGATGAACACGTTTGGATGGGTATAATAGTTGACATGGTGAGCAGCCGACCTCAAATGGTGTTTGTGTTGTGGGCTGTTATGCAGCTGCGCACAAATTGGTCATTTTTCCGTCCCGTAATCTGCCATACGTAGACAATTACTACCTGTCAAATACGTTCGTCGTGTTATCCCAACTTGGTGAATCTTGCCTGCGTGTTCGACCCTGTGTCTTGGATTCCGTGGATAACATTCTGATCAGTCGAGAATTGCTTGACCGCGGTTACATTACTCTGCTTGAGGCTGTCGAGTTGCAGCAGCATTATGTAAGGATCCTCTTGGGTCTCCTTAGCTTTGCTAAACACTTTCTTTGCCTCTTACCATGCTTACTCAGCCATTCCATTTGTTTGGTCATGCAATGCGCTGGGGAGCGGGTGACGAAAATCCCACTTCGTGCTGAAGGTAGGAAACTGCACTACTAAATTCCGGTCCGTTGTCAGAAATCACCACTTCGGGTTTTCTATGCTGAGCGAATTGGCACCATAAGTTGTTCACCACGGCTTGCGTGCTGGTCATTGTAACAGCATCAACATCGAAATAATCACTTAAATAATCGACCACAACCGAATAATGCTTTCCATCGTGAGCTAAAATGACCAGTGCGACCATCTGCTAAGGCCTGCCAGGAACCTCATCTGTCGCGTGCAGTCAGACGTACCTACCCCGCAGCGAGAATTCAAACCCAGTTCACTAGCACTCCGATAGTGAAACTGGACTCAAACGATCAGAGGCCTGTACACGCTAATTCAATGTGTATGCATTCTTTTTTGCGGCTCCTGTGGAGCAGAATACATTGGTCGTACGACAAGGCGTCTATCCGAGCGAGTGTAGTAAACCACTCGGCCTGACTTGGGACTGGAAGCAGAAAACCAGTCAGCTACGCAATAGCCGCGCACCTTGCTGACACAGAGCATGCCAATAATTCAGCTGACTCTTTCAGAATTATCTATCAGGCCCGGGCGAACCGATCGAACTACGTGCGCAAAAAATACTAGAAGCTGCTGAGGCAGTTGCGATTCGACTGTATGACCCGGAGCTGTGTATCCAGAAGAAGCTAACTAGAAGGTTGGGACTACCCTGGCCCAAACGCCTGACGACCTCTGACCCGCGAGGTCAATTGTCGTAACCTAACGGACAACCACTGTCAGTAGTTAACTCGCTCCTGGACTAACGACTGGTAATGTCTGTCTACCCATTTTGCTTTTATTTGTATATAACTGTAGAAGCCTGATGAGAAATTATCGAAAACATATGTTCGCTTACACGGACTTCTGACCTTGATATGGGGTTGTTCAAAAATGTTCGAGTAATTGGCATAATGTGAGAATGTGGTCAGCACAGCCTCGAATTCAGCGAAACTTGGCTCGCTTCAAGCGAATCTGGCTCTTACGTGTGCCAGTCAGTCTGTGGAGAACGGTAGAGGCAAGAGATTTAGAGGCAATTAGGATCAGACTGATCCTTGTATGACTACTGTATTTTGAACGTGAGCCATTCTTGAACCGCGTTGCTTATGTTCATGTGGCAACAGAGTGAGCGTTTTAAGTAGGAAATTTCTTTTAAAGAACACTTATTTTGTAACAAATTTCCCAAAGGCTGTACCCATTGGCGTCAGTAGGCCTTCACTTCTTAAGGTCCTACACCTTTTGTCGGGCTAATGAGGGCCTCTCTGACGGTTTGCGGTTCTCATCTGTTCATTGATTACCAATTTATGCCACTGCTTCCGGCAACTGCCAAATTATCATAAGGGCATTTACCAATCACTGCGAAATGTGCACTTAGGTAAGATTACATTGGCTGATTTGTTGCTTTCCGTAAGGGGCTCACCCTGTAATAACGTGCGATCTTGGTGCTTGGATCCGATTGAATGGTGTCTACTGCCTTTTTGCTTGCTGAAATTGAAGAATGTTTGCATGACACTCATTCAGTATCCAGACATTTTGTCCCCTCTTCTGAAACACTCTCCTAACCTGTCATGAAACAGAAACGTAATTTTTCTCATTTTATTCGCCCCTCTCCCATGTAGCTCACAAGTGAGGTGGTGAAATGTCCAAATGTGAAGACTTGCTGTTTGGTCTCTGGCCGTTTAAGCGAACTACAGAGGCTAAGTGAAGGACTTGAAAAGTGTCAAAAATCACTAACCAATTACCTGGACACCAAACGAAATGCGTTTCCAAGATTCTTCTTTGTCTCGGATGATGAACTGTTAAGCATCCTGGGCTCGGGTGATCCACAAGGTATACAAGAGCACATAATTAAGGTAAGTGTGCTTGCTTTTCATCGTAAGGGGCTATTTATGCAATAAGTCAGTTTACAATCTTTTTCACTAAGTTGCTTGACTCTGATCTATGTCCTTCGGCCCATAACAAGAAAGGTGCGTCGGCCGGATGAGGACGTTTGTTTCAAATTCCGTCCTTCTTAATCCATCTCAAGTTCCAATACCTTAGAAGCTGAAGCGGCAATCGACAAGGATTGATGCCGAATGAGCTATCAGGTTGAGGGTCGTCAGAACTCCACCCATCTGTACACCCCATGTACCCCTTATTTTACGTATGAGACTGGACTTTTATATGAATTCAGTGAGCAGCATACACTTCTCTGCTGAGGCTCACCCAGGTTAAAAGTGAACATTCATGTGGTAGTAAACCTACACCGGCTACCCACAATGTTTGCGGTACAATAGCGGAGGTGTTTTACCATCCCTAGCTGACATGTATAATGATGATGATGATGACCCACAATGTTTCACTGCGATACAGAAGCTGTCCCCAATCAGATTTAACATGAAGCAAACCATGGAGAATCGGCTTTATCACATAGGTTCGAGGGTTCATCCCCTGCACAGCAGCTCCACTACAGCAGTAGGTAATCTCATAGACCCTAGCCGCAGTGGTTTATTGCACGTTGGTGTACAAGCGCGGTTGTTGTATCGCCACCAACCGCTCGCACCCTACGGCCACAGTGAGAACGAGAAAGACAAGGTGTGACAGAATTGTACACATGCAATATTGCTTCGCTTATCTAGGGTACAACAGTGGCTGAAACAAAGCTACTAAACGCATCGGGGTCAAGCAACAACAGAGGAGATGCTTAATGACACTGGCCAAGTAGATGTGATAAAAGTAAGAAGCAGTTACGCGTGTCCGAAAAACAGTATTAACAGGAATTGGACCCTGCGATAACATGCACTAAGAAAGACATGTTCCGGCCAAGCAACTAAAAGTAAAGACGCATTTAAACAAATATCAACTAACTGACGATAGCAAAATGGATGCGCATGACTAGTGTCACAAAAAACATATTTCCAGTAGACACCCTCCTGACAGGAATACTTACACATTTTGCATCCTTATAGACAGTTGGATTACCTTCTAAAATACAAAACAAAGGATACTTTAAAAAACTAACGATGACTTCTGATCAACCGCTTATGAATAGATATCTACTTGCTACTTTGCTAACCTGCATCAAACAGTGGGGATGGGCAGAGATGAATTTTCGGTTACCTTACCGGCTACCAGTTTGCTTGCTTGACACATAGATAGATTGAATCGGATCTCTGACTGACACAATGACTATCATGATGGTGGGAACTGGCTGTATTCCGGCATTGCGCCGATACTTTCTCACCTAAACCTTATCGGTAATTGCTCATCCGATCGTCCTTACCCGCACATAGTCATCGCTGATCTTCTCATTCACAAACCGCCTTTCACTGCTACTATGTTGAACTCAGTAACGTTTGTTGAAACTTGTTGAGCCATCTTTAAACCCCATGACATAGCGTACACTTATCAGATGCGACGAGGGGTTGCAGCCGCTGTCCTATTTCCATATGCCCTTCCCAACAGATGTTTGATAATATCGCATCCCTACGCATTGAAGGAAATGTCCCGTCCACTCGTCTGGAGCAACCCTTGGTCACGGCGATGCTGTCCAGTGAAGGAGAGGTAATGGAGTTTCGAGAAGCCCAACCGGCAACTGGGAATGTGGAACACTGGATGACTTTAGTGGAGGCGGAAATGAAACGCTCCAATCGTCTAATTACCAAAGAAGCCGTATTCTACTATCGTTTTAAAATTAGTCGGTAAGTCAGGTTCATTCAGTCTTTGAACCGTTACAAATGAGTGTCGACAAATTCTTGCATAGGATCTATGTCCCCGCCGCAAAATAGTGTTAAACTTTTACCCGAAGTAATTGGTTTCGACGGGAAACGATGCATACCAATAAGAGTTCCACCTACTCACACATGATTGTTGGACATCATCTTCTCTTCAAACAGCATATAATAGAAATTATTTGTTGGGTAAGTAATACACGATAAACTAGCACTCGGATGGGTTTCTTGCGGCACTGGACCTAACGCGCTTTTGGGATTACCTGACATGTTCCAATTCCCTACCGACGTTCCAGTTTCACTACACATATTGGCTCCTACCGCCTTTTAACCAAGTCAAATCAAGTATGTGCTTTACGTACCCATGAAGGGTTGCTATTCAGCTGTCACACATATGCCACGGGCAGGATTAAATGATGAAAACGAATAGTACACGAGGATAGACATACAACTATAGTATTTGTAAAAAGTTGACAGAGGCACTATCACTGACGGACTTTACTATCCAGTTCTTGCATGACTGAGTTAGTAGCGGTCAGAAGCGTGATACGCGTGGACCTACTGATGTACCATAAACCCTAGTGCGGGCGTACATAGTTTTGTGGCTCGGTCTGGTCGAAGATGTTGATACGCAATCGGACAACACCCTGTGGAGGAGGTGGCTATTATCAGTGAGCATTCCGGATGCAAACTTGTTGCAATAGTTGGCAGGGCTGGATCCAATTATGTTAAGAAGTTCCAGCGTCGAAAAGCCGCTATACCAGGATGGATGCCTCATTGATTTGGCATTTACTTTGTGGTCTTTACTCAGGGAACCAGGAAAGATCACAGGAGAGCAATAGGTCCAGTAGAGTAACACACACATTCATAAAAAGCTAGATCGAAAACCGAGACAGGGAAGAAAACGTGGTATGTGTAACAAGGAATGAGAGTTTCCAAACAGTAGTAAATGCTCCGTTAACGTGAAGGTACCATGTAAGTCCACTACTTAGTGTCATGCTCAGGTAGTTTATTAAAGTGGAGGATTTCAAGTCTTCACCGTCAAGGCAAAGCTTCATACAAAGTTATAGCGCAATGATCGTGCGCTATATATTCGGTACGAAACTAGACGGCCAACCACAAGCAATGGGTAGGACACACAAAAGTAATCATCATCATCATAATTATACATGTCACTAGAGGTGGTGAAACACCTCCGCTATTGTACCGCAATACATAAAGGAAATACATACATACATACAATACATAAAGGAAAAATAAATACGGTAGTTACATACCAGCTGAGCTACCAGCAACGGATAGGCATCGTTGCGGCAAGCTACCAGCCGGCTACTAGGCAAAAAAAAATATTATGTTTTACCCTACGAAATGAGATCGTAGATGGAAGGGGAGGCTAAAACCGATGGGGAGGGACAAAGAAACTCACAGTAGGAACGCCACTGAGGTCAGCTCCATGCCATGTCAGCAAGTGTATCCAGCCAAACGTGTTCACCGTCTTTCGGACCCCAACCAGGGAGTCGAGACGCTCCAACCGAGGCTAGCTCCGAACTGAGGGACTTCATTCCTCTGGACCAAGTCATCGCTTGGCCACCCCTCCTCTTCTTCCATCCACATCCCCGGTGAGCAAACAACACACGTCGAGGGAGTCGGTAGGCTGGCATGCGCAACACGTGGCCCAGCCAATGGAACCTGGTGCGGGAAATAACGGTGCTGAGCGGTTCATTCCCTTTTCCTGTGCCGTAAACAAGGCGTCGAACACGCTCGTTACTCACGCGGTGTTCCCACCAGATGTGAGCCAAACTGCGAAGGCACCGATGGTCGAACGTAAGTAGCCTCTTCATGTCCGCCGATCTTAGGGGCAAGGTTTCGCAACCGTACAGTAAGGTCGAACGTACCGCTGCATTGTACACTCTACCCTTCAGGGCGAGAGTAATGTCGCGCCGCCGCTATAGGTGGCGAAGGTTAGCAAAAGCACTTCGAGCTTTTGCTATACGGTTCGTGATCTCGTCTTCGATCCCACGGGCGCTGATACAACTTCCCAGGTAGTTGAATTTCCGAACGACTTCTAGCTGATCCCCACCAAGGGTCAGCGCAGGAGGCGATCCCTGCCAATCTTGGAGGAACGCTTTGCACTTCGATGGTGCAAAGCAAAGCCCGAAGCGGCTGACAGCCAGTGCTAATCTGTCCAGCGCGGCTTGGCACGTCTGGGAGCTGTCACAGATGAGGGCAATGTCGTCTGCATACTCCAAGTCAAGAAGTCGTTCTCCTGGGAGTAGCTCCACACCTTCCAAGTCATGTCCTGTAAATGCAATCTCCATGACTTCGTCAATAGCGAAGTTGAAGAGGAAAGGTGACAGCGGGCATCCTTGTCTCACACCGCTGGAGATATTGAAGGGTGGCGACAGCTTGCCGTAAGCCCTCACTCTGCCCGTGCTACGCGCGTATAATGCTCGGATAATATTTACATATTTCTCGGGCACACCTTTCCTGAGTAGACAATTCCAAAGGGCACATCGATCAACCGAATCGAATGCACCTTTGATGTCGAGGAACACGACTACGGTGGGCCGCCAATATGTGTGACGGTGCTCCAACAACTGACGCAAGGTGAAGATGTGGTCGATGCAGCCACGACCCCGACGAAACCCGGCTTGCTCTTTTACGAATCTGGCTTTCACGAGCGCCAGTCAGTCTGTGAAGAATTGTGGAGGCGAGTAATTTGGAGGCGATGGAGATCAGACTGATTCCTCTATGGTTGCCGCATTCCGAACGCGAGCCTGCTTTGAAGATGGGAACAATAACGGAGCGGCTCCAGTCGGTTAGGACAGTCTCCTGCTCCCACAGTTTCACTAGTAGTTCAGGTAAAGCATCAACAAGAGCAGAGCCTCCGAATTTGAGGAGGGATGGAGGAAGATCATCTGGTTCTGCGGCTTTGTTCAACTTCAACAGTGCGATCTCACGTTCGACTTCTGAGCGACAGGGTGGATCCAAAGGGACAGCCCACGGAGCGGGGCGATCACTGGCCGGCGAAGAATCGAACAATTCTAGGCGATTAAATTACTTTTCAAAATGATCAGCCCAACGCTTCAAACGTTTTGACAAATTGTGAATAGGCTGTCCACTCTCGTCACGTATAGTTTCACTAACACCAGGTCTCCTGCTTCCCGTTTCCCGTATCAGACGGAATAACTTACGATGGTTGCCAAGGGCAGCGGCCACTTCCATCTCTGACGCACGGTGAGACCACCAAGATTCGCGGTCTCTCTTCAGGCTAGCACGAAGTCTTGCCCGGAGCTCTTTGCGATTTCGATTGAGCAACGAAATCCGAAGCGCACTAAAGACCGATCCACTTATTCAACCGTTGCTGCTCAGTATAATCAAAGTGCGACCTCAGTAGGCTCACCCAGTACAGCCACAGAACGGATCAAGGATCAGGTGCAACTTGCAGAGACCATGCTTTCCACGTCACCGAAGACCAGGTGGAACTACAGGGCGTTGACACTTATATGCACTAACGTTCTTGAGTCCAAGGCAAACTTCTTAAGTGGTAAACAGCTGGGTGATTTAAAGCAACGGAATTTCCGTTGTGATGACATCGAAATTCAAGCCAGTCCGACTAGTATAATGCGCATCACTAGACATCCAACCTCGAATCGTTATGTGGAGTCCCGGCTAATGCGAGTAACATTGGGGTCAATAGATGATGTCGAGACGGTGCTTTCGTCGGCACACCGCCTGCGGATTGAAAACTGTGAACTACGCATATTTCCGGATGTTCCATAGAGCGAACGCCAGCGGGACAAAAATAATTCAAAGGACCATCGCACGGAGAGTAGCAAAAGAATTATTTTCTTTCATGGCGTGTCCGAACTACCGACAACCAGCAACGAAGAAGCCTACGCTCAAGATCTGGAAGTGGCGTTACATCCGTGAAACTATCAGAGCGGGCGACATCATGCTTCAGTCCACTACACGGTTACCCGGGTTGCCAAACTACAGAGGGAGTGACCCGAGAATACTGAAACCAACGGTGCAGTCACAACAGATGGCCGTGAACTTAATCCGTAGCTGGCAGTTATTACGCAACGCACTTCCTTCGGAACCACGACTGAAGACAGCAGTTAGAGAGCCGCAACCACTCGCTGTTCCCTCGGAAACCACACTATCCGCGGCTCAATATAACTATAACAGCGATTCAGAAACCTGTGCGCTAAGACTCGTAGCTATAGTGAAGTCTGCCGATGGACTACATACAGCAGGTGCAAGTGAGACCGAAAACAGATTGTATTCCTATCGGGGTTTGGAAATTCACCTGAAAAACGATTAGGTATCGGCCCCCCATCGGTCCGCACAAATCCGCATCATTCATGTGCTCCTAGTCAAAAGCTATTGACATCTGAGAAGCTTTGCTTTATACACACCAACGCTCAAGGCTTACTGAGTAAACTTTCCGAAATGCGGCTGTGTCAAGGATTAAAAGCCTGCGACCTCATCGCTATAGCGGAGACATAAGTGGCATGGAGATCGCACTGCCAGGCAGGTTCATTGTTCGGCACTACCGACCCAGCAAAGGTGGAGGGGTGGCTCTCTACTTCCGCATCGACCTCATAGAGGATCCGGTCAGCACGGTACAAGATTCCCTTTGGTGCCGTCTACGTTTAAAAGGCGATGACACTTGCTTAGCAGTGGTCATTTACCGCCCTCCTTCTTCCACTCCCGAGATGGACTTCTATCTGGCATCTGCAATAAGGAGAGTGATAAATACAACTTAGTCACCTTCTCATTACTGGCGATTTCATCATCCACTCTCTGGAATCGCAGGCAGATCCCGGAGAACACTAAGGCGGCTCAAGAAGATTTTGTCTCAAGTTACCTGCTGTATGGCCACATCAACACTCCCACCCGATTGCGACACACTGAATCAGATATTTACCAACGGAGAACTAATGGTCGAGAGGGTAATCCTCGAC